CGTCGTGGCAAGACCTGTGGTGTCGGAAGTGATGCTGGGAACGCAATTGGTGGCATTCCTCTGTTTGACCCTGCTTCCCAGCCCCATGCTGCTGTAGGTGCAGGATTTTGCCTGGGGTGTGAAAGCTGAAATTCCAGCTGCTGATAGCTATTAAAGTGCAACTGCAGAAGTAGAGACGTTAATGCTGGTGTCTTTGCCAAACTCCTACTGGTTTATTTTTGTAAGGGCCGTTGCAGGTGGTGGGGCTTAATGTAGGAAAACGAGATCTAATATTAAAACAATGACTTTCTGGGCAAAGCAAACGAGTCCTCCAGTAGCATCTTAGAAGCTGTGCCACATGGTGCATTGGCGATGGTGGAGGAGTGCTAATCTTGGAAACTGTCTATGGATGTTGGTAGCGTTTTGTTAAGGTCGGTGATCTGTGGGCATTTGCAAGGTGCTTTAAATTGGTTTTACCTGAATTGGAATGAGAGCCCCGTCTCTGGGTGAAATCAGCATCGTGCCGGTGGCTCCTGGTTAGGGAGGCAACAGGCCTCTGAAATATGTTGTTGTTATTATTATCATTATTATTATCTAAGTGCAGCGTGGTCCTTGATGCTTTCCTAGACATAACAGTAAAGGCATTTTCTGCCCAGTGAGATCTTATTCATGCAAATTCTCATTGTGGTAGAGAAGGGTGGTGACTCATGAAAGCCTGTGGAAAGTGGGACAGCTGAAGTGGTGACTGTCCCCAGCCAGTCCCCCTGCCCCACGCCAGGGATCACCGCCTCCAGGGCAAGGACATGTGCGCTCAGCTCAAAGCTGTTCTAGGACTGCTGCAACTGGTGGCCCGCTGCGTTAGAGCAGTTCAAATTTGTCACTGACTTACTTCCCTCCTCTGGGCTGCAAACTGAGGCAATTCCTGGAGCAATGTTACTTTTGGCCCAGAGATCCCTGTGTGAGGGGCAGCCGCTTGCAGGAGAGCAGCAGGGCAGGGCGAGGGGGTGGGAGCTGCTGCAGCCATCTGATTTTCATGTGTCTGTGACTCAATGTGCTCCCTGACCACAAGGGTCAGCTCTTTGTGAGTGAAGTCTATAGGCGTTGGTCCCTAGATATTATGCAGATATGGTGAGTTTGGGCTCTCTGAAGCAACCTGAGCAGCTGAGTAATAGCTACTCACCAGCTTCCAAATTTGCTCAACCGTTTTCCAGAGAAAGGCTCTGTTTTCCAAGTATTTCTGAGGCAGCTGTGCTTATTAACATCGAAGATCTAAAAATTAGATTTGCTTCAAAAGCATATCTTAAAGCTGCTTGTTTGTTGACATGGGTTTTTTTTTTGTTCTGTTTTTGTTTTGTTTTGTTTTTTTTTCCTTAAAGTGAGACTGACTCTCCCTTTAAGATGCTCTCAGATTCTGGGTGCCCACCACCAGGGCCATGGGTGAAGAGGAGACCCAGGCTGCCTCTGAGCTTCTTCAGAGGCTCTGATCCACCCCAGGGAAGCTGCTTGCGATCTGCAATTGAAGCCAGGCAGCTGAGAGCCAGCACAAGTGGTACTTTGCTAGATGAATTCCCTAGGGTCTGAGGGCTTGTTTCCTAACAGGGCCAGCTAAAAAAATGCCAGAACTGGCACGGGGGGTTGTATAAAACTTTTTGTTATTGCTTTTGTCCATCTTTAAAAGTATTGATTTGAATGTACATATTTTTTCACTACATTTTTATAAAAATCACTTTTTAAAAGAATTTTGTTGAAAACTCCTCCAAGAAAATTCAATTTACTGGTAGTATTTGAAGTCATCACTTTTTCAAACATGATGAAAAAATGACAATTGGGATCACGTGGAAGCTCACGTGGAAGCATCATGGGGGAAAACCCAAGATGTACATCATCCCAACATTTTTTCCTGAAAAATACTTGAAAAAAGACTGTGCGTGACAGTCTCTTCCTATTCATGAGCATACAGTTAAAAGAAAAATCAGGTCCATTTTTAATGCAAAAATGCCAAGTGTTTATCTCTATAAACAGAAGCAAAAACAAAAGCCGGGTAAACCCAAATTGTATAGCTGTCGAGCCCAGGCACCCCCTTGACTGGAGGAGGAATTAGTGGCTTGCATAATCAAGCCTGGGGAGCTCATTTTGTCATGCTCAAAGGGCCACAGTGGTGCAACAGTAGGGGTGGAGGGATCAGCAAGCACCAACAATGAATTCCCTTCGTCTTTCCAATTTTTTTTTTTTTTTTTTTTTTTTAAGGATAGATGACTAGAGTGAGGCGGTAAAGGAGCCAGGTTGACACCTGTATCTGTGACAGCTCAGGCAAGGGAAATAGTGGGAAAGGATCTGCTGGCAGCAATTTGAAACTGTCCCCCTTCCTGACTCAGAGGCTTTGACTGATGGTGCAGCTTTGTGCAGCCATATGGTCGAACATCTTGAAGGGCCGGCAAAGAGGTGCTGGTGCCAGCGCTGGGAAGGGGGACCAAGTCATTATTGGAAACCAGATCTCCGAGAGAGAGGAGCCATTAATTCAAAATTTTTCTTCATGCTTCACTGTCCTTTCTGCGCACAGGACTCAGTGTGGCACTGGGGGAAGGCGAAGCCTAGCCTGGCCGCCGGGGACGGCTGTGCTGAGCTGTGGTTAAAAGGAAGGGCTTCTTCCTCAGCGCTTAGTGCACAGCATGGTGTCTTTACAGGGCAGCATCCCCCTCTTTACACATGCTCTCACACACTCCCTCTTTTTGTTCACCCAAACCCCAAATTTGGCTTTGTTATAAACTGCCACATTGGTTCTCCCTGCAAAAGAGCCGTTGCAGCACCAGGAGGACAGGGCTTGTTCAGCTCAGGCTGCAGCTGAGACCCGAGGAGAGCAGAGCTCCCTGGCCATGGCCCCTGGCAGCACTGCCGCCCATTAATGTAAAGCAGCACCAGGGCCAGCAAGATAAGAGTTGTAATGACCACTGTGGGTTCCCGCTTTCCCTTTTATTACTTGGTACGTTACATTTGTTTCCAGCAGGGAAGAGTTTATGTGTGAGTGGCTGCGCTGGCTGTGTTGGACCGAGCTCCCTACATGGTTATGTGGATGGACTCCAGGGACAGAGCTGCACTTCCCCTTAACAAGCTCCTCGCACCACATTAAAGATAAAAGGGGAAGGGAAATATTTATATTCTGACAAAGCAGGTCTTCCCTTCAGGCTCTTGTTTTATTTATTAGCTTGCTCTGTCCCTCTTTTGCAGTTTTTTCTCT